AACCCTGGAGGTAAAGGAATAGTCTGATCACCCCACTTTAGGGCTTTTTGACCGGCGGACCAAAACTGACTACGGGGGTGTTCCCTTAAAACAAAAAACAAAGATGGAAAGTAAGGAAGATAAAATAAAAGTTACGGTGCAGAGCCTAAATAACTCAGTACCGGCGGGTGTCGTTGATCTGCCCACGAGTCAAGCCCCGTCGCCATCCGGCGATTGTGAGCAAAAATCTCCTACAGATGTGGGTGCATTGGCATCTGTAGTCGAGGGTATCGCTACAAGCACTCAGCCAGCAGGCACAAATAAATAAGACTTCGGTCACCACCTGGGAGGCGAAAGCCTGGCCCAACCTACAGAGGCTGGTGGGGACTCAAATTCTAACTCCGGGTCTGACCAAGAAAGTAAGGCCGATATAACCGTCCTAGAATGCCGGAAGAGAGAAGAGTCTGATAGGATGGTGAAATAAGTGAGCAAAGACATAGTGAAGATCACAACAAAAAGAAAGCAACTATCTGGGGCACAAAGGCGAAAACTGGCCAGGATGAACGGGAGAAACAAAATCAAACAGGAGCGGGATGCCCTAAAGGATAAACATGACCTTCCCTCCACTTCCTCGGAAGCGGCGAAGAGGATTAGGTCTCCGGAGGAGCAGACCAATGCCAAACCTTCAAAAAAGAAAAGAGCTTCACCTCGACCGATAGCAAGAGAAGGCTAAGCATGACCCCTAGTCAAGGAGGCTGTCCACAGAATCCATCGACTGAGGGTGGCGAAGCTGGCTCTAATATAGAGAAGACGGGCCCTACACCGAAATCTTCCGACAAGACTGGGAATCCCGGACTTCGCGTAGGAGGGAGGCAGTAGCAACAATCGATAAGGAGCCGCCGTCTTATGCAAAGGTTGCCAGAAGGCGGTACAGGGACGAGTAATCGATGAACGTAGTGCATCCGATAAACTTAAAAAGGAGACGCATGATGAGGTGATGAATGCGGTCAACAAAAAGATCATGGAGCACCTGCGGCAAGGTGGAGAGCCCATAGATCTGAATAGCAGCGAATTCAAAGGGGATGAAGAATGATCGAAGAATGATCGAAGTTATCCAAATAAACCTCCATCGGAGTGAGACGGCAACAATGACTCTGATGGAAAAACTAATTAAAGGTAATATACACATCGGTCTAATCCCGGAACCATGGACTGTTAAGAACAAGGTCTCTGGATTAAACCACATAAATTACCAATTATTCTATGCAAATACAGGTTCCCGACCGAGAACCTGCATAATATGTCTCAAAAACTTATGTTTTTTATTCTCTCCAGAGTTGTCAACACCGGACGCAACCATACTGAAGCACGGGAATGGGAACATTTATCTGGCATCAGTTTACCTCCCATTTGACTCGCCGATACCACCACCAATGGCGAAGCTGCAACGACTGGTGAGAAGAGCAAAAGAAACAGGTAACGAAGTACTGATTGGTAGCGATGCTAACTCACACCTCATTGCGTGGGGTAGTACTAATACTAACAAAAGGGGTGAAACCCTCTTAGACTATCTTAATACTAACGACCTAATTACTCTTAACATAGGCAACAAACCTACCTTCGTTAATAGAATTAGAGAAGAAGTGTTAGACATAACGATATGTTCAGCGAACCTAATAGACGAGGTACAAGAATGGAGAGTCTCACATGAATATTCCTTCTCGGACCATAGATATATTAGGTTTAAAATCCTACGGCCATCGCCGAAACCCATATACTTTCGAAACAAGTCCAAAACAAATTGGATAAAATTCGGAAAACTACTCAAAGAGAGGCTAGGGCAACATAACTATGACAGCCTAAGCACTGACGATATAGACAAAAATGTCAATAACTTAGCGGAAGCAATAGTAAAGTCCTTCGAAGAAAGTTGTCCTCTTCGAGAAAGGAAATCTGCCTTCGAAAAACCCTGGAAGACCGGGGAGATTCGAAATAAAGGGAAAGAGGTCCGAAAACTTTATAATAGAGACGCCGCAAGAAATCTACAGTATACTGGGACAACTTCCTCAATAAGTAGAAAGAATACAACAAAATGACAAGAACCGCCAAACGCAACTCCTGGAAAACTTTCTGTGAACAGGTCGATAGCGTAAACGACGTCTAAAAATTAAAAAAGTTTCTGTCCAAAAACCCACACTCAAGCCGAAAGAATGGTAGACAGTTAGCGCAACAGGATGGAAACAACTGAAGAAACAATAAGGCTTCTGATGAACGCTCACTTCCCACAGAACCCATCCATAAGTGATGACGCTACGGTAGCAAGGGAAGCAAGATCTGTGGAACCTAAGATCGATGAATCAATGGTACGAGATGCTATAAAGAGCTTCTCATCGTATAAAGCGGCAGGGCCAGACAACGTCTTCCCTGCTCTTTTACAAAAAGAGGTCGACTATATATCACATGTATAAGGTTTGGGTACACAGCCAGGGTAGTCTTCATACCCAAGCCCGGCAATGCAAACTACGCAACACCAAAAGCCTACAGGCCAATTAGCCTTACTTCATTTTTACTCAAAACCATAGAACGGACAATCGACACCATGAGCAGCATCCCCAATGACACGCTGAAATATAAACAACATGCGTACGTAAAGGGGAGATCAGTGGAAACGGCTTTACATGAGGTAGTACACCACAATGAAGGAACTTTCGATAAGAAAATGTACACTTTAGCAGTCCGCATTGACATCGAAGGAGCCTTTAATAATGTCAGCACCGAAACACTTATCCAATCCTTAGAAGCCTTTAGTGTTGACCAGGCAATTATAGACTGGGTCAACCATATGCTAAGGAATAGATGGATAAACTATAGCCTACAAGACATAACTATCAGGGACAAAGTAGGACAAGGGACACCGCAGGGAGGGATACTGTCACCACTTCTGTGGGTCACCACTATCAGTAGCCTCTTAAGGAACTTAACCGAAGATGGTTTTGAACCAGTCTGTTATGCAGACGACGTTATAATACTTCTATGGGGAAAGAACCCTAACTTACTATGCAGGAATGCTGAAACGGCGTTAAACATCGCTTTTAGTTGGGTGAAGCCGAGGGGTCTAAACGTAATCCGGACAAAACGGAAATATGTCTCTTCACTAGAAAGACAAAAATAGGACAGTATGAAGAACCAATATTTCAAAACAAAGTGATAGCAATATCAAATCAAGTGAAATATCTGGGTGTCATCCTAGATAGAAAACTTAGATGGAAAGACCACATACATCAATGGGTCGAAAAGGCCCATAGATGCTGGTCTTTCTGTAGAAGAGCCGTGAGCTTTAAATGGGGTTTCAACCCAAACATAGTACACTGGATCTACAAGAGCGTTATTAGGCCAATTGTAACTTATGCGTCTGTAGTCTGGTGGACAGCAATAGACAAAAATGTAATGTAATAACACTACAGAAAGTCCAAAGAACTTGTTGTCTAGGCATATGCGGGGCAATGCGGACAACACCAACCAGGGCACTGGAAACTATATTGTATATACACCCAGTTGACATCCAAATAAAATACAAAGCGGCCATCGCAGCTTTAAGACTTAAAGTGGATCGACAACGGACACTACACACCGCACGAAAATATACTACAGGCTACGATCGGACACTCAATTAATCACTTTGCGTCAGATCGAATACCTGAAACAAGAGTAATCACATTGTGTGAAATCCTGATACCGGACAGAGACTCATGGAGCAGCGGAACACTAGCACACATGCCTCCGGGGAACTGTTGTTACACGGATGGCTCCCGGCTAGCGGAAAAGACGGGACTGGGACTTTTAATTGAAGAACCGGGGACTGAAATCTCACTTCGCCTGCCAGATCACAACGATCCTACAGGCGGAGGTTCAAGCTATAACGGAGTGTCTAAGATGGTTAAGCTCTAACTCTGGGCATAATAACATAAATATCATGGCAGATAGTAAACATGCTATTAATGCAATAACATCCAAAACAGTTTCATCAAAAACTGTACTGGAATGCATAAAAATAATAAACAACTTCTCACGACACGGTCTTGTACGTATATATGGGTACCGGGTCACTCAGGAGTCATAAGAAACGAGATAGCCAACCAACTCGCCAGACGTGCTACGGACCTAATCAACATAGATGTGAACAGAGCAAAATCTTTTAGCGCTTCACGTCTAGAAATGAGGTCATGGGCGAAAGAGGCGCACAAAACACTCTGGAATAACGAAAGGATTGGAAAAAACACAAAAATCTTATGGGGAGACCCAAATGAGGATAAGACTAAGCAAATACTTACGGTAAACAAGAAAGGACTAAGCAGACTGATAGGCATTCTCACACGACATCTTAACCTGCAGTCACATTTACCCAACATGGGTGTTCGGGAAGCAGCAGGTGCAGAGCGTGTGGGTAAGACAACGAAACGTTGGAACATTTCCTATGCCACTGCCCGGCTTTTGCATGCATCCGAACCCAGTTCTTGAAAAACGACACTATTCCTGAACTTAATGACCTAAGGGGGTGTGAATAGAAAATACTAAAGGACTTCTGTAAAAACACAGAATTCCTAGAAGAATAGGGAGACCAAACAAAAAATCTAAGAATAATTCCAATCTAAATACCTTTCCTTCCTAGAGCGCACAACAGGCCTCCTATGGCTTAAGTGTATGTCCCATAATGGACATGTGGTGGTTTCAACCACCCCTCTTTTCAAACTAACTAACAAATACATATAAATAGCTTCTGTAACACTTTGCTACATTTTTAGTTTTACTCCACAAAAAACGACAAAAACTTTTTAAAAATTAAAAAAAAAAAAAACATTTTGCAAAGTATATTTTTATATACAAAAAATATTCAACTCGAGTATTGAAATTCATGTTCCATAATTATTTGTATGATACAGCAGTTAACACGGGTTTTATGCATTATAGTCAATTGTTATTTACGCTTAAAAATATGAAGAAATACAATTGTGTACAATTACCTTAGTTGAATCCTCCTGCAGTCGGGTATGTTCGGATATAAATTGAACACAAAAACAACTTCTGTGAACACGAGGTGGACATTTGCTATGGGAAAATACGGGATTGGCTAGAATAGGACTTTTTATTCCTGATGGTCCAATCTCCATATCTGGCACAGCAGGTAAATCGTCTGATTCTGACTGCGGTAATGAGGGAATCAGTCCGTGAATTTGACAACTTCCTCCAAATGGACCCGTTGTGGCGAGGCTAAAATGATAAAATGTATTGAAATATTCACCCCTATTCCGTATGTCGTCGTCGTTGTCGACGACGTTTCTCTTTCGACATCACTTCGCATCGACATCGACATCACTTCGACACTGATTTGGTATTCTGTAACACTCATGCGACGATGTCGACTATTTATGGATAATACCAATAAAAACAAAAATTTTGTTGCATATTTTTGGTCAAAAATGTGTTTGTATCCTTCACCGCACTGTGGTACAGGGCATTATGTCTTGGTAAATGTGTTTGCAACGACCAAAAAGAAACGAGATAGACCCATAGTTACTTTTTAGTATATAGTATGTACATAGAATTATTTTTCAGTCGATTTATGCATGTCCCTCCATTCATGTATTATTTTAAACAAGTTACATGCCACCATTATGATCCGAACGGGATGAAATTTGGAAAAAATCCATCCAATTGGGATGCAATTTTATGTTCAAACGCTTTAGTCGTGAACAAAAACTATGACGAAGAAATCTTCGACATCGTCGTCGTCACACATTGTTACGGAATACCAAAAAGGTTTCAATAGTTATCGATAAATGTCGACAACGACATAGGCAATACCAATTTGCAAAAGACGACTCTCTTCGACGTCGTTTCGTGTCGACGACAACATACAGAATAGGGGTGATTAAAAAATAATAAAATGAGTTATATACACACACCAAATTCGACTGGCAAATGGAAGCGCAATATGTATTGAAGACTTGTAACTTTGCATAAAGTAGATAAGGCCTATAAACTTTTGAGCCTCGATTTTTTCAGTGTCTATGGAACTATTTTCTGGTTACATACTTAATGCAACTATCCTAAATTGGATATTAACAAAATTTGTCGTTATTACATCCTTGCATACTTCTGAATCAATTTCAATATCGATGAAAAATCATTTTATATTATCTTTTGGTTCTTTTTTGCAAAAATCTAAAATATTTTTGAGAGTACAATTCAAATACGAAGCGATTTAAATAATTTGGACTGTATACACAAATTGGTACTGAACACATTTTTACCCTGAAAAATACACTGGTGGCCAAAACTAAAGCAACTAAAATTGCAAATATAATAAATGCCGTATAACTTTTTTTAAAAACCAACATCATATGTTCACGTAGCGAACATGGTTTTCATTAAGTAAATATAGTGAATGTATTTCTGTGGGTCTCTTGTGTAAAAGAGATAACATTTAGTTAAACAGGGATCTATTTTTGTCTACAGTCCACTTGAGATAAGAGGTTATTTTGGTTCAATATTTGTACACAAAAATAAGAAAGGAGTTTTTCTATTGCCACATGTGGTATGTTTGGGTAAGATTACGGGGAGTAATCAGTAAGTATCACCTTTTATATTAATAAATTAGTGTGTAAATGCACATCAAATAATGTTAAAAAATTTATAACAAAAAATTATTTTGGAGTAATATTCCATAAATAAATCCGTGATTTCTCGAATTATAAGTCGGTTTTGTGCAACTATATCATTAGTGACAGTACCAATTGCTTTAGTTTTGGCTACTTTTTTTGATACGTGTCTTCCATTATTATTAACATGTGTAAAGTTCTATGGATTTAATTGACATAATTTTGTTGTTTTGTAGTTGTTTTTGTAATAAATGAAAGGTTTTTTTTGGACGGCGGGCATTATTTCCGATCACTTGGAAAATCTGAGTCCAAAATTCGAAAGAGTACATGTCAGGCTCTGGTATGAACTAAATTGACAAAATAGCGTACATATGAATGTGGTTTTTAGAAAGTCCCATATTTCCGACCACAAATTAAGATAGAATTAATAGTATCGGAGTTATAGTGCCTGACATTTGTAAAAACACTATTATCGATTACAGAATGAACATTGCCCAACACAGAACAACCTTATAATAGTTGTTCTTAGGCTTTTTTTTAGCAATATTACAAACATTTTGTTAAAATGTGAATTCTCAAGAAATTCTCAACTATGTTTGTGGTTGGGTGTTCGTTAGGGGTGCTCCAAATGTAAGTTTTTTTAGAACAAATATAATTTTATTACAAAAATTAATAAAAAAATAATCGATAAAACATTTTTAATTTAAAACTAATTCTTGGACTATTATATTAACTTACCTTGTCTCGAAATTGTACTTTGGCCGTTTAATGAACAAAAATTTCGGAAGATTATCAATAAACACATTTTTCACCCAGGGTGCCATTCGATGAGTTTGTGGCGATCTAAAGTGGACATTGAGAACAACAACTGTGACACATATGCTGCAATGAAAGGGATACAATTATATAAATACACTGACATAGGCCCGCTACGTCGTTAGCGGAATTTTTGTATAGTTAAAATAAATAAAATTTAACTAAGCTACACAATATACTTTTTATAGTTGAATATTTGATATACATTTGAAATATTCCAAATAATGATATGTCCTATATCTTATTTTTTATGAAAATCTCAGATTTTACTCCAAACAAATTGTCGCTATTCCTATATATCATCGACATAAAGATACCGCCCTTTATTCATTACATTTAAAGTATGGTTGAAAACATCATTGGAAATAAATATCAGTTATGTTATAGCAGAAATTATAGAAACATTTGCATTTAAAAATGCCAACAATTTAGTACTTGTGATGTTCAGCGGTTTGTTTGCATAGTTTCACTTATTTGTGTAAAGTCTCGTCCGTTTTATAACTATATCGGAAGTTTAAACCAAAGTTCTAAGATTAGTACTGAAATTTGGATACCTGTCTCTAATCATTCCTACTTTGTACTTTCTAATGCAAATTTTCGAAAAAAAAAACTTTTTTGAAATGTTATAGCTAAATACAGAAAAAATTTGAGGACTCTATCTCTACTCGTTCTGTCGTATACAATATTTAGTACATTAAGCACAAATGCCCAACAAAATTGCGAAAAGAATTGTTTTTCATAGAAAACAACTTGTACCAAATTCTATATCCACCCGTACCGCCTTATACAATGTTTTGTACTTTTTAGTACATTTTATAACTTATTTCTGAAAAATATTTATGCATAAATGATTATTGTCATGGTTGCAGGTAAGTATTTTATAACAGGACCCTATCTTTATCCGCACACAGTATTGAGTACTTGCTAGTTTACTAACTTTTTGGCATATTACATTTGTTTATAGAGCATATCGCTCTATTATTTATAGTCTAATACTAAATTTCAGATTTCAAACCCTATCCATTTCCATTTCTTCCGGTTCTGTTATACTACAGTATTTAGTACATTTTAGTACTAATTTCAAAAAAAAATATATATGAATGACATTATATTTGTAATAGAGTAAGTTACATACTATATTTCAGATTCTTATTTCTACCTGTTTCATTGTATTTTATTATTTAGTACTTTTTATCACCACTTTACTACTTTAGCACTTTAGCATTCTATTTGTAATAGTTAAATCTATATGCGAAGTTTCACATTTTTATCTCTATTGGCTATATTGCAATATAATATTTACAACTTTTTAATACATTTTAGCATTCATTTCCAAAAAATATGTTTGCCCATCATTCTATTTGTAATACCTTAAGTTACATACCAAATTTCAGATATCTATCACTACCTTTTCCATCGTAGTATAATATTTAGTATTTTTTAGTACCTTTAGTACTAATTTACAAAATTTGTTCACACATTCTGAATCGGTTATCATGGAAAAAGCTGTGTACCAAATTTTACAGTTCAACTTCCATCCCTTCCGGTGCTATACAATTTTAGAACCATTTTAGTATTATTTTCCAAAAATATTTTTGCAAATCATTATATTTGTATTAGCTTAATCTACATACCAAGTTTAAGATATGTATATCTACGTATTCCATACAAATATAATATTTAGTACTTTTTAGTACCTCTTAGTACTAAATTCCCCGTAATACAGTTTTTAGTACCTTTTAGTACAAATTTTCAAAATCGCCGCCTTATCAGACGCCTACTTACCAATCCCGACCTACATGCCAAATTTCAAGTTTCTAGCTTTAGCCGTTTCGCCTGGGGGTTGATAATCAGTCAGTCATTTATAACGCAACTCTTTTATATACCACGAATTCCATAAAAAGGACAACCACATAGGTAAAAATCAATACGTTAAGAGAGATATGAAATTATATAGGAAATATTCTTTGCTGAATTTTGAAAAATAACGGTAGTTTTTCTTTTTGTTGTCATTTGTCGTAAGTGTGAACGCTGTAAGCTAAAACAATATCAATAATAAATATTAAATTCAAATAAATATCTTACTAAGAATAACATACATATAAACCTCTATATATAATAACAGAATCCCGTGGTAATGGCAGTTAAATAGTGTAAGAAAAAATGTAACTCGTGCGTGACAAAATTAACATATGTTTCTACACAAACTCTAATATGAGAATTTTTTTTGATAATGCTGTTATGTGTGGATCTTGAGATGACAAACTCAAATAAAACAAAGTTTGTCTTTTATCTCCATCGAAAAATTTTGTATCCGTCACGCACATGTTATATTCTTCCTCAATATGTTGATTTAGAACCGGATTTACAGCAAAAAATTTCGTCCATAACTGCAAAATGATTTACTAAAGGTCTTGGGGCCACACAAAGGTATAATACCCTGACAACATAGTTGTGTGGGATTTAAGAATTAGCATTTTTAAAACATTCAGTTTCAATTTAATTTTTAGTACATGTGTGTGTAACGTGCGTTACAAGTGTAACATGTGCGTGTCGGTGTTCAAAGTTAAACAAGTATATGTTAGAAGTGGTTTTCTCATTATAGATGTAAAAAAACGCAATTTTATCTCCAGCCAATTCGCAGAAATTTCATATCGAAACTGATATCCAATTTTTAAAGGGAAAATTTTGTAGCGCGTGCGTACGCTAAATTTTGCTTAATATCACCGAAATTTACAAACATATTCATAAAAAAATTAGCAGGTATTGTAAAAGGCGCAAAACTATTTAATAAAAATTGCAAATGTCGCACGGTGTAACAGTGCGTGACATGGAATTCGTGGTATATAGATTAATATCTGCAATGTCTGAGTCGCCAATAACACTATGCGACACGAAAATTATTCAGGGGCTCTAATGTACCAATTATGTTTAGTTAAAGTCCCTGGACCACGAAAATACCTTTGGTTTTTCTGGGTCACATCAAAAATTAATTGTATAACGGTAAATGTAGAGAAAAACATGGTTTCATAGATTTTCAATTCGAAACTCGAATAACTTTTTTATTTTTTTCGAAGAGTAAAATTTTTCCTTTCAAACAAGATATATATTTGGTAAATCGGTTGAGGATTGGCTGAGTTACAGTGGTTGAAATGTGAAAAAATACGCATAAAAAGACAAAATTTATTTTTCTTCGGACTGTACGATGAAAGGAATTATGTGTCTATCTCGTTTCCCTTTGCCTGTTACAAATATAACGGTTTGTAACAGGAAACGAGATAGACCCATAGTTCCTTTAGAGAATATGCATAGAATCAATACAAAAATTTGTATAAGTCATCCTTTTTAACCAATTTTTTTGATTTTTCTCATTTTCGAAGGCTTATTTAATTTTCTTCCCCCTTGAAATCACATCCACAGATTATGGGCATGTTTATAACCAAAATTAAAAAGACTAATGGTGGCAAATCGCATGATCTTGGTGGACAGTTGATGTCTCCATGACGATAAATTACTCGGCCAGGAAATGTCTCTTGCAATAAAGTCATATTCGTTCTAGTTGTGTGGCACCATCTTCTTGAAATATTTTTGAATATTTTAGTTTAGACGGATTTTAAAAAAATTGTTTCTAGAATATACTTAGACATATTGCAGAATGGGCGCTTGTTGACAGTTTCAGTCCAAGTTGGACTTTCGATTTTTAGCAAATGTTTTATTCTTAGTCTCATAAATGTTTAATGTGACTTTTTTATTCGTAATATTCGTTGGTGCTTCTTTAATTACGGCAAATTCGTTTCGGTAAGAGTATTAATCAACTGATTTTCTATTATTCAAATAGCCTTTAGGTTTTTCTAATGTTGTTGAGTTTTTCTTTTGTTTCAACGCTGTGTTTTCCCTTACACACAGCAATAATTGAAAGTTTGTATTATTTTAAATTAATTGATATTTACGAAGTCATAAATTATAATAAAATACCAGAAAAAGCACATATTAAATTTTTAAGAGAAACATCCTCCAGTACAAACCATAACTCTGTTTTAGTTGGAAGTTCATCTCTAATTATTGCAACTATTGCAATTTCTTGCAATCGCCATGCGAATGTAAATACTTGACAATACACATATATATATATATAACTTACCTAATGGACACTAAAATCATAGCGAATATTAAATACTTCCCCAGAAGAGGGACTACCAATGATGTTGGGGGTATGATCTCAACAACCAACAAAAAGAACACATGGAGGCTGATAAGAATTGAGATTGACAACGTCACCTGAAAAAACAAAGGGAAATAGTATTGTAAATGTTTGTTTATTATTACTACGGGTTGCCGATGTGCGGTGATTATGGAGAGACTATTATTTCTCTATATTAAAGTGTATATATCCGTGGCATTTTATTATATATTAGAATTGAATTAACGACTTGAAAAGTTGTTACCAGTTACCATCAAATATATCCTACCAGAAAATATATAAACTATGTTATTTCTATTGTAGTTCCCAATCAACTTGAAGTACTGATCAAATCTTTCGCAAAAATTACTTAATGGTTATTTTATAGATTTACTAGGTATTTATGACTATGTTAATTACCAATTTGTGAAGGTGTCACAAAGAGAGGATTCCACCGCTGCAGTTAATGATATTTTGTATGTGGACGTACATGGCGGTTGTTGTGGTCTCCCTCCACTATATGAACGAGCGACGTAATGCAAATAATATCACCAATATGTGCATTATCACGATTTATTATTTTAAGAATTATTGACATGAAATTGGATGGAATTAAAAATTTGATTTTTATTTGTATCTTCATTTCATTTGGTGGAAAATATATAGTAGGCAATTTGGTATTCTGTGCAAATTTTCATCGCAATCATAGAAACCGTAAGTATTAAAGAACAATTTTGATGAAATCGGTCGAAAATGTATATAGGGGAGAGGGGAGCAACACGGCACCTTTGAACAGCGCTTAAATTTTTTTTATATAAAGAAGGAAGAATAATCACATACCTTTTCGCCGCTGTCTGACGGCAAATAAAAAGTCAACACCGTTAAGAATGATATTCCCATACATGGAATAATAATGTTTACGGTATAGAATAACGTTTTTCTCCTCATCGTTATATTAAACGTAATGTCCAAATAGGGTTCGTCGCAGCATGTATAAAACTTCTCGTTTCTGCAAAAATGAAAAAGAAAATTAGATAATAAACTTTTGTAAACTATGACAGAAACGATATTCTGGTATATACATGCTTACCTGACGGCTGGTACTTCAAGGATGTCCCATTCCACAGACATGTAAAATTCAGACAAATCAACTCCAACATCAACTACGTTGCTACCTAGTTGTTCGTCCATGTGTCTCAGATCCACCTTGGTGTAAATTGAAACATTGAAAATATATTAATTTGTTATTATTTGTTGTTAAGTATCGATATTGATAATAGTATTTCTCCAATCATACAATAAAAAGTACATTATAAAGAAATAAGATTGTGTGGAAACTAATGCAAGATTGCTATTTGTTGAATGATGCAGTTTGTCATATTGTTTTCTTTTAGAATTATTTTACAACACATTAATTTAGTAAACATATTGAAACAAGTTATAATGGCGTGACGTGAAAATATGTAATTTCTGAAGAAAGAAATAGCTATTTCTCGGAAACTATAACTGATAAAGCATGGATTTTTTTTTGTGCGATAAATTTTATGGCGATCTCAAATTAAATGATTTAATAAATTACTTTCTTTGGAAACTATTTTTTTTAATTCCAAATTTTGTGGACTATAGGATATGTTGGCACATTTTCAACAGAATTAGCCGAAATTTGTTATTTAAAGACCTCATTGTAAAGCAAAAAAATTGGTATTGCTACACTTTACAGGGTAGCCCACATATGTCGGAACCTCAGAAATTTCGCCATTTTGTGAAGTTTTGGCAAGTTTTTCAAGCAAAAAGATATAAAAAGCGCATACACAATCATATGTTATTGCAAACTATTTCAAAAATGCCAAAGTTTAGCTTTGACATTGAATTAATCTGCCATTATTAAACCGAATCTGTAAAACACACAAATAATTATCAAAATATCTTTATCCACTTAAAAATGACAGACTTTTGACAGGGTAAACGATTCTGAACCACAATGCGTCGTTTGAACATATTATTGAGAACCAAGTAGATGCAGTAAGACTGTCAGTAAACTGCATAGTCACACATTCATGTTAAATATAATTAAAATGTGTTGTACAACATAATAAAATGCAACTACAAATAATTTCAGTAGGAAAGTTATTTAAAAAAGATATTAAAAGAACATTAAGCCAAAAAACTTTTTATCTGTATAATTTAAAATGTTCTTTAAAATTTAAACAGTTCTTAAAAAATTTTACAAAAATGTATTGTTATTTTGACTGTTTGTTTATCAAATCTTGCAAATAGTTTACGCAACTTTTTTAGTAATATTGTTCTATTAAAGCATGCACTACGTTAACGTATGTTTGTTTTTTTTTCTGATGCATAATTTGTAACATAAGACATTTTTAGTTACATTATCAGTTTATAAAAAACAAAAAATAAAATAAAAAATGTTATGAAAGCATATAATCCACTGAACTATTTTCAGAATACTTTAGTAAAAATGCAATTTTTGTTTCGTTTTTGTGTCTTTTATTGTTTCAATGTTTTTCGTCAATTAAAATTAATAGAAATATTCCCATTTTTCTAAAAAATCAGTTAAAATAATTCAATCAGCTTAAATAATTCTTATAGATTATTTTTCTAAATTTTTTTTAATTCTTCCTTAAAAGAATTATACAAGTAAAAACGTCATTAAGACAGTGGTGTGCATTCAAAATTTCCTAAGAAGGTCGAAAACTTTAAATGATGATTGTTATTGTAAAGTGTCTGCAAGTAGAAAGTTTATGAGGGAAAATGAAAAACCAAACTTCACTCAGGTTGGAAAACTGGGCTAGGATTGAAAATATTGAAAACTTTATGGAAATACGTTTTCTATTCACCACGAATCATTTTTGATATGAAGATTTGTTTTCCCAAACGTACCGAATATTCGGGGGTACCTTCTCGGAAACAACGTCTTCTATCCTATGTGGCATTAAATAATAACAGGTAATTTGCATTCAAAATTTCTTAAGTCAATCGAGACCTTTTTATATGGAGACGACGTTATTTGGTAGTACCGATGCGGCTAAAGTTTCAAAATACAGAAAATGGGATATGGAAGCTACCCGGATAATTTTTCATAATTTTCCTACTCAATGAGAATGCAAAATATTTAATTGATCCTAAATTCGTTGAAACGCGTGCTCAAGCTACCCAAATTTCTGATGTAGCGTTATATTGGGGCTTTCCTAAGAAGGAAACCAAAATAACAAATCACAGCCACTTTGGTTGAAACATGTGCACAAAAACCTCAAAATATCGAATATTGTGGTTATCGTTATATAAGGGATACCCCGAAATATGGCCCAATATTGATCATTTTTGTGTAGAGATCTGATACCCAACGTGAATCACTAAAATACTAAATTGCCGAATAATGGGGGCTACCCTAAAAAGTGGAACAATATTGATAAAGTGGACCGATATACCCTATTTGCAATACCAACCAACCTATGAGAAATAGCAATACCAGTGCAACATTTCAAAGTTCTATCTCAATCGTGTTTTCAATAGACCGATTGACGGACACGATCAAGAATCTCTATGGCGTCTCCGTTATGACGAATTTAATATTTACGCCACCTTTTGGTGGAAATGGTCAAGATCATGATTTTGTCGTTTTTTTCTAAAGAATTAATTTAATTTTAATATTTTTGTAAAATGATCAGTTAGAGTTCAGAAAGTTTGTCTTGTTTTTTTTAATGTATATAATTTTAAAAATAATATTTAGGATGTTTGTTGTGTGTTACAAATTTAAATATTAGGCTCGTACCTTAGTTCATGCATATGGGTACGATTTTATCTCTTCAAAAATTCAATACATTTATTTCAATTATTATTTATTTTATTGCGTATGAAGTTGAGCATTTTCAAATTGACAGGACGTATTTTAGATTTTATTTGTTTTGTTAAAATACATTGAAAAAAGTGTTTCTATAAAAGTAAACATTGTTAGATATATTAAAATAATCTTTCATTCATTTTCGCGTTTTCAATTGAATGCAGACCACAAATCCTGTAAAAACTACTAAAGATATTGCATGTTTTGACAAAGCTTTAGTTGGGCTGAGTATAACGCTTCCGATTACTCTGGAATAAAAGTATTGCGAATTCTAGGCGAAAAATCGACAAATTGTTTACAAAATAACTCGAACCTGCCTGCGTACTGCGTAGAGTTCCCTATGTCCAGACACGACTGCATATACTTCAGAGTAGACACCATATAACAGCCCCCACTCACTATTCGGTATTTTTGACACGTTTTATGGAAGCCAAGAAATGTTAGGTACGGACAAAATTAACGAAGTTTCGTAGTCATTATGCTAAAAGTTTCCTCAAACACACCGTATCGCCGTTAACTACTCTCTTTCTCTTTGAGTGATTTCCTCATCTGTCAAAGTCAAAAATTTATGTTTGTTTTTTTATAGTATTCTTTGAAAAATATTTTCACGAAACCTGTTACATGTTACAGTCTTTAACATATACGACGATTCAGGCCTGGTCTCTTAGTCTGGGTTTATACATGCATTTTTTTAAGCAACTCTGCTGTTGCTCTCTTCGATTCTCTTTTGAATTTCTTCCCCCTTGTCACTTTTTATACCTCTCACTTCTAGGAACTCGGCAGAGTTGCTTACAAAAGTTGCATGTATAAACCCAGACTTAAGATGGCTTTATATGAAATTTCAATTTACAAAGGAATGTCAGAGTCAAACTTTATTTTGGACGCCGTTCTCCTTTATTCTTTTACAATTAAAAGCCAACTTAGCATGCCTAGCCTGAAGTCCTCTTTTGTGTTTCCCCCTTCTCCTAACAACCCTTTAATGGCAGATTGCAATGAAAAAATGCTGAACATAGTTTGGTACCTTTAACTTGCGACCTATATTACAAGGCTGCCATACAAGTTTTTTAAACAAGTTTTTTAAACAAAATACATATTTGCTGTTTGTGTATGTTCTTTAATAACATGTCATGTAATGAAAATGAGTTTTTACAGCGTTCTGAAAGTGTTTATTTTGTTATGGATGAAAAGTATTTCATTTTCATTCATTTTTCAAGTCTTTAGTTATGTGTTAAAAATTAAAAAAAAAAACACATAGTTGCATTTTTGTTATTCACCTCATGTTGTCCTACCTTGTAATAGTTGGACCCTTAGTACCATTATTCAAAGTACGCTGTAACAACTTATAAATTAAATTCATATTGTGCCTAACTGAGTATGTATGAAAAATATAAAAAATATATTCTAAAATCCATTGATTTAAAGATGAATTTTACAACATCGGTGAGAAGATTTTTGATTTGTGAATGAATAAATATGTAAATCATATCCCTAACTCGATTTTGAAAAGAAAACCATTCCATTCATTTTTCGCGTTTTTGATAAATAGTTAAAAATATGTTAAATGAACAGAACAAATTGTTGCATTTGTTTTTATTTATTCTGACATTTCAGTCCACGAGCTAGAGATGTATTTTCTCTTATTTGACAAAAGATGCCCTACCTTGTATAAATAAAAAATGCAAAATATAATTTTGAAATAATAATGCTTCATATTCTTATTAATGTAAATAATATTTAAAGTTCAAAATGTTGACAAAATTCGCATAATTTTCCCATTGTTAGCAATGATGTCTGAAGTCATGCATATTTAAAGTCGCATGGGTGACACACTTTTGTGGCTTTTATCTCAAAAGAAAAAAACGGGAGGCTCTCATTTTTTTACCATTGATAGTACTCTTAAGGCCCGTATCTAAATTCAATGCGTTGCGTACTAAAATACCAACCTTCTTACCTTTATAGGGTTTCTTCAACGTCCGTATTACCCAAATACGCAAGGACCTTATTTACTTGTGTGTCAATTGAAAACGGCGAAAATGAATGGAGACATTTTCTTCATTAACCGAAAAATGTTTACATTTGTAGAAAATCAAAATTTTCATTGACTGGAATTCTATTTTCAAAAAATAAAAAAAATCAAAATACGCAATTGTAAATTTTGAAAAACTTCATCTTTATATTTTTATACGCAATGCGTATTTGGGTAACATTCATTGAAAAACATGTATTTAACTTTTGAGGTGAATAAAATCGTACGTATACGCCTGGTATAATAATTACAAGGTAGGGCACAGCTACCAACTGATTACAATTTTTTCTCAAGGTGGCTTGTTCCATCAAATCAAAATAC